TTTGAACTTTAGTGTGACAGTACTAAAATTAGATCGCTGCGGGTAGTATTTTGACTGCGGAGGAAGATTTTATCACAAGACTTCATCGACTGATTCATCAGACCGACTCGTCGTAACATCAATTTTCTCTGCCATCGTCCCCCGACACACTGTGGTCGTCAAATTATCTGGTATCATCAAGCTTTCCGGAACTTTGTAAGTCACAGCACAGATCAGAGCATCCAGCCGTCCAAACTTTCCTATGATGCAAGCGTTGAGCTTTGTGAGGCCATGGCAAAGATGTACAGAAGAGAGAATGAGCGATGCCAAGCGCTTGAAACTTTGCTATCGCAGGAGTTTGGGCTGGAGTTTACAGAAATCACTTTAAGCAATAATTCCAGACCTAATGGAATTAGTATGCATGAGATCAGTCTCCCCAACCCCAAGGACACCTCCCGTACTTATCGAGAACATGTAGCAATAATCATCTGTGAGAGCAAGAACGAGATTGAGGGCGCAACAAACGATCCATATCTCCAGGCAACGTGTTCATACTCTAAATTCTGGAGCCAGTCAAAGCTCAAGGATTTGCGGGCAAAGAGCAACTGTCCTTCAATGCTGTTCTGCTCGGCCGGACCATGGTTTTGCATATGTGGAGCAGTGTTCCTTGATACAATTATTGTGGACCCTTTGACAGACATGATTCCGCTGATGCCCACGAATGATATGATGCACTACATGAAAATTGCACGGGTAATGGAGGCACTCAAAACTGCTCATAATGACCTTGCCAGGTACTACAATGCATTAGGGCAATCAGAACTAATGCTCATGGATGGTATTGATGTGCAGCGATTCTATCCTGACATTCAGAGGTTCAAGGACGCCAATGGCACGGATGTCAGTTTTTACTACACTGATGACCTCTGTGACCAGTGTGACCATATAGAACATTTTAATTTGCACCTATGCCGGTGCACCAAGCCTTACCGGGGCCGAACAGAGGATGGTCAAGAAATTGTTGTGAAGTTCACAACGTGGTACAATGAGGCCGCTCATGAACTGTGCACTAAAGATAACCTGGCTCCAAAGCTTCTTGGTGTTGAAGAAGTCTCCAAGGGATTGAAGGTGATCATTATGGAATATGCTCAGAACAGCAGGACATTACATGAATATAAACCGTCACAGCAAGATCAGTACTTGCACGTGATGGAGGATGTGAAGAGGGCCATCAGTTTATTGCACAGAAATGGTTATGTCTTCGGTGACCTGCGCTCGTCCAATGTCCTTGTTCTTCCAGACTCTGCAGAGTCAACAAAGGTACGGGCTGTACTTGTCGATTTCGACTGGGTTGGAAGGATAATGAGGACACATATCCCATATCCATGAATGCCCAGAGCATTGTGTGGCCTGATGGTATAAAGGGGGGTGAGCCCATGCAGAAGAGGTACGATGATGAGCTGCTTAGGCTGTTAGAGAAGCAATATATTCCATGGTATGAGGATAGTTTATTTCAAAACTAGGAAGGCATATACCTGAATTTGTTGCATAATTTGCTTCATTGCTTGAACAGAAAAGGTGCAGATGTGGAAACGATAGGACTTTTCATTGTATATATAAAAAAATTGAATGCTTAATTAACGTTGTGGATGCTCAACAATTAGATATATTAATTTGAATATCTTCATATGCCCAATTGTGAGGAATACAATTTGCAACATTAAATTTTAAAACGCGTTAATATTAAATAAAATGTGAGCGTGCTATTTACATAAATTGGTTTAGAATCTCGGATTAACTTGATTTGGAAAATTTGAACATACATGGCAGATTCCTATAATGAAAGTGATAAAAATTATATATATAGGAATACCCGTATATGGAAAATTATAATTATAATGGTTCGACTGAATATGAAAAAGCAGTGCGTTTCTTGGAGATAGGTTGTAATTGTGGTTGTTCAAAAATGATTCCGAGAGAAAGATTTGCTGAATTACGTGAAGCGTTTCAGGCTCTCTCTAGATCCGAGCAAGATATATTTATAATGGCCCAGTTGAAAGCAATGAATGGTGGAGAAATAACTGCCAGTCGACGTCTTAAAAAGAAAACGCGTACTAATAGGCGAACGTTTTACTACTGAGATCGCAATACGCCACTTTGCCAGAAAACGTATCTCAATATGTTAGGAATTGGCCGCACGCATTTCGAAAACGTCAGAAATCACCTAGAGGCGAATGGTATAATACCGCGCGTTCATGGTAATATCAAACGAGTGCCGCGACGAAAAACCAAAATAACCATTGATATAACCATTGCTACTGCCGTAAAGAATTTTCTCGAAAACTATGCTGAAATACACGGATTACCAAGTCCTGGTAGAAATGTAAACCGCATTACTCAATCGCTTACACTATTGCCAGCTGAAACGAGTTACAAGTCGGTCTATCGTGATTTTATTGCAGGTCTTGAAAACGATAGCACATTGAAACTGTTAAAATATGACGCGTTTCGCAAGTTATGGCACCAATTAGCGCCTTATATTCAAATCATGAGTCCAAGAACGGATTTATGCGACACATGCCAACATTTTCGGAACGGCTTACAATACAATGCTCGCAAGGAAGAAGAAGCGAAAGATTTATTGAAAAAATACAAAGAACATTTAGTTAAGGCCAAGTTAGAGAAAATTAGTAAATGAGCATTCTATAACAAGAGGTAAAGCTTATTGTAGCATTGATGCGACTGCGCATTACAGTTACGATTGAGCGCAAAACATTCACGTACCCCATTCTGATCAACAGGTGAGTAAGATTTATTATCTCAGTCCGCGTAAAGTGCATTTATTTGGTATTCAAGATGAAGCAGTACACGAACAAATTAATTATGTTCTCGATAAAGACGAAATAATAGGCAAAGGTCCTAATGGCACACTGAGCATGGTATTTGATGGGATTAAGAAATTGAATAAAGGCGAAAAACGTTTAAAGATTACTTGTGATAATGCTGGTGGTCAGAATAAAAATAATGCTACTATTTGATTTTATCTGTATTTAATAATTTGCGGCTATTATGAAAGTATCGAATTAAATTTTATGGTACCTGGACATACTAAATTCAAGTGTGATGGTAGTTTTGGATTAATTAAAAAACTCTATAGAAAAACAACAGTAGATTGTGTGGATCATATTGTTGAGGTCGTGAAAAGATCAAGTACAGCTGGGTTAAATAAAGCTCAGTGTTATGACAATGGAAAAGGCTTTCAATACTTAGATCTTAATTCTGTGTTGGGAATTTTCTTTAAAAGATTGAGTGGTTTACAAAAATATCAGCATTTTCTCTTTGAAGCAGGTCGACCTGGAATTGTCAAAGCCCAGCTGGTTGATAATGGTTTGTATACTGAATTTAATTTGTTAAAAACAAGAAAGACAAGTGTTTCTGAAATTACCAACGAAATTAAATCATTTTCCATCCTAGTTTTAACTCCGCCTCCTTTGGATTACAAAAGACAAGAATATCTTTATCATAATATTCGCCCATTTATTAGAGATGAATTCAAGGATATTACTTGTCCCAAACCAATCTATCCTGATAGTGAATAAAAATATTTTAGTCAACTGCAAAATTTTATTATTTTATTAGTTTTTGTGTATTTAAATTCTTTATATTTAATCTTTTAATGATATTAATATTAAAATATAATATAGGAATTAAAATCATGACATTCAATAAAAATGATATAAATACAATAGATGAAGCAAAGAAATACTCCAATTATTATGGAGGAGTCCTTAAACCAGAAGAAAAGGCTATCTTTGATAGTCCCCTTTTAAAACCAAATGGAACTTTGGATAAAGCTTTACTTCAACATACTGCTGAAATACTTGATAATTGAAAACAATCCAAAGATAAAGTAAAAACTGAAACAATGGGTTTAACTCCTAATGGACGTGCTCTATTTAAATCTTTATTAGCAGAACAAAGAGCTAACTCTGTTCCTTATCAATTGGTTAATGAAATTGGTTATAATAAACCAATTGATAAAGTTGTTAGTCAATTTGAAGATGTTTTATTTTATGAATCTGACTATAAATATTTAC